TATGACATTTTATCGGTCCGTCAAGTTTCAACCTCGTACTTCTGACAGAGAAAGTTTAAATAATTTTAACTCATCCGTCAGTACACATCTGTTTTTGACGCCTAACGTTATTTTAAGATAATTTATTTTCAAATCTTTTAATATTTTTTTGAAAAGTCTATTGCCATACTTTAAATTTAAAAATATTATAAAGGGGGATCAAAAAAAGAAAACATGAAATACTATCAGGAGTAAACTACCTTTATTTTTTGTTTTGGAGCAAAGTGACAAATAAAAAAAATTCAAATCCAACCAAAGACTAATTTTAAAATTTCAACTCAGTATTCCAAATTTTATTTTTATTTTTTTTTTAATTTTTAATTTATACCTTTGTACCTCATTTCCCGTATCTTTTACCTATGTATGACAAATAATATCACAGTCTTAGATAGTAATTTTAAAATATTTCAACTATTCAAAATATGACAAGATAAAATGTCCGTATGTTAAAGTTAGGCAAATATTTTATCAAAAAAGTTGTTTATAATGTCAAGAAAACCTTAGATACAAAAAATAAACTTTATTTCAAATTGGGTATAAAAAATTATCCTATTTATTCAAAAACACCTCCTCCTTATTTGAATTTCTCAAACTGCCGTCTAATGTAATCATAAGTTCTTCTTACCCCTTCAAGTAAAATCATTTGAACTGACTCGAGGATTTCAGATCTGAAATCCTTTGTTTTAGAATGTAGATGATATTTTCAATGGGTTGCTGATACGTTTATTGCTTCAAACGACCCCAAAGCAAACGCATCAATTGTGAAATTCCGGACTCCACGCAGGCCACACGATTGAACCATTTCGGCCAATCCATCGATCTCCGAATTTATTGTTTAGCCATTCGGTGCATAATGTGCCGGGCAGCCGTATTGTTGAAAGCAGTGGCGGCTCGTGACCATTGATGAAGGTGAGGCCCATGAATCGCTATATGGCGGGTTTCAAGCAAATACAATATGGGGTTTTAAGCAAAGACAAAACAATATCTTGAGAGAGATTCATTTTTACCTACTTATATCTTACAATAATTATTTTTAGATTAATAAAGGCACAACCGCACAACAACAAAGACTAAACGAAAAAGAAGCCTTGGAAATACTGTATTAATAAAATAAAATAAAACAAATCGACTTACTTACTTGATGTAAGGGCTTTTGCCTTACAACAATAAGTTTTTTAATTTGCAAAACGAAAACCCGCCTAAAATTAAATTCACAAAAAGGTTAACAAAAACAAACTAACACGAGGTGCGCGTGCACCATACGGTCGCGTATCAACGCGCCGTGTTGTGATCCCCTAGTTAAGGGGCGGTCGGGGTAGAGAATAAAACGTTGTCAAAGTTTCAGATAAGCACCCATGAAATCGGAGAAGGGATTATAATAATCCATTGTTCCTAGACATATAAATTAACACCCAGTAACAAACAATAAATAAAGATTACTTTACTACAATAATTTTTGTATAGTAAACTTTATTTGTTCTTTGTTCTTGGCTGATAATTATTTAATAATATGTCGTAGAACAATGGAATCAATTTTTATGAAAAACGCTCGGACACGTAAACTTTAGTTTTTTATTCCAAATCTTATAATGATAATTTTAAATTTTATGCCCCCACCATTTTTCCCCACGCACATTAGGCACCCTTATCTTAAATAACAACCCCACTTTTTTTCATCGAAAATTGGACGCCTTTCTGCAGAAAGGAACCAACCCACAAAACCAAAAAAATCGAGATATTTAGCCTATGAACTAATTAAGTATGTATAATTTATCTGCAAAATAGGTCATAGCCAAAATGCAAGTGTAGTGAAATCTATTAATCATTGAACCAACCAACATTCAATAATAGTGTGGATTACTAATCCAGAATTAGAATCTGTAGAATATCTGCAAGTGGGTTGGATCTTTTTTGTAAAAAAGCAGGCTGGTAGACCCACTACCAAAGTCTTTAAAGATTTCCTGCTTCTGCAAAATATAAAGTCTTGATGCATTTTTTTGGTAGCTTACAAGATGAGGTGGGGTTGGAAGATGATGTGGACGAATTTCAAATAGAATCAAAATTAATTCATATTACCATTATAATAGTAATATCAGTTGTATTTTGTTTGGAAATAAATAATTGTCGCTTTTCTTTAAATACATACATACATCAGTAGTTTTCATAAATTGCAGAAAGGAACCAACCAACAAAAGCCCATTTTTTTCGTCACCCTTACACATAATATCACAAAATCCACCTGATGAAATTATTAAATTATATCCCTTAAACCTCCGTAAGTCCAAAATCGGCATAAAATTAACAGGTAATTTTAAAATTATTAAAATCTTTGATAGCTTTTTTCTCAGTTTCATCATGGTGTGGGTTGGTCCCATTCTGCAGAAAGCCGTCCAATTGATAGTGCACATTTTTTTTGAGTATGATGATACCATATAATTATAACCCTACTTAAGTAGGGTTTACTAAAGAGTTTTCAATACAGGGTGGAAATATAATGACAAATTAAAAAACTAAACTTTTTATTTTAAAATTAATTAAAATCAATCAAAAATAAACTGATCTTCAATCTTATAAATGTTCAAAATGTCCCCCGTCCACTTCCTGAAACTTTAGTAATCTACTGTGAAATTGTTCCCGCACACTGTTTAAAATTTCCGGTGTTATGTTCCTAATTTCTCCAGTAATTCTGTTTCTTAATTCATCTAAATTAGCAGGTTCTATTTTAAACACCCTGTTTTTTAGATATCCCCATAGAAAAAAGTCTAGAGGTGTTAGATCCGGTGATCTTGCTGGCCATTCTATAAAACCTCTTCTTCCGATCCACCTGTGTGGAGAGGTGTCATTTAAATAATTTCGCACAGGAAGAGCATAGTGGGGTGGGGTACCGTCTTGTTGAAGCCATATCCTTTCATTGGGAAGATTAGGTTCCAATGGATTTGGAAACAACTCTGCTAAAGTTGGGACAACTTGTTCTCTTAGCATATCCATATATCTTGCCCCGTTAAGATTTTCAATGAAAATAGGTCCCACCACATGATCACCAACAATACCAGTCCAAACGTTGATTTTCTGAGGACGTTGGGTATGACTTTGTCGCATCCAGTGGGGATTTTCTTCTGCCCAGTACCTGCAATTTTGTCTATTTACCTCGCCATTTAATAGAAATGTTGATTCATCAGAAAAAAGAATATCTGCAGAAGAAATAACATTCCTGTTTAACATATGCAGCATTTGCTCGCAAAATTGTAATCTTCTATCAGAATCACCATCAATCAATTCTTGTACGTGTTGTAGTTTATATGGATGCATTTTTTCGGCTTTTACACATCTTAAAATGGTCGAATGACTAACGTCGTTTTCACGTGCAACCTGACGCGTAGAAGTTGTTGGATCTTCTTGAAAAGCTAATAAAATATTAACTTTCACATTTTCATCAATAAAATGAGGCGTCCTGCGTAATGGTGTAACGTGTCCATATTCACGAAATTGTGCATGTATTTTAGACACAGTTGCCTAAGAAAGTGGTGGTAAATCTGGGTATTTTCCATTAAAAAGGTTTGCAACTTGCTGTTGTGATCTGCACATATCACCGTAACCAATCATCATTAATATTTCTATTCGCAGAGTTTCTGTCAAGTGTCGCATTTTTTAACTAAAATATTAACTGATACTTGGATCTAACAAAATACTTCAATAAGTAAAGCGCAAAATGTTTCATTAATAATAAAAATTTTAAGAATGCAAAAAATGTTAACAATGCAAAAAGGACAAACGCAAAAAGTGGCATTAACAAAAATCAATAACAAAGCGAAAAAACATGAATATCTAAATAGCGAAAGCCACAACACAAGAAACTAAATCATAGAATAACAATAAAAAATTCATACTTGTAATTTTTAAATATTCACCCATTATTGAAAATTATGGTTACTAAACTCTACTTATGTGGTATCGTCGTACTCAAAAAAATGTGCACTATCAATTTTCGATAAAAAAAAAGTGAGGGGAAAATGGTGGGGGCATAAAATTTAAAATTGTCATTATAAGATTTGGAATAAAAAACTAAAGTTTAAGTATCCGAGCGTTTTTCATAAAAATCTTTTCTCAACGAATAACGAATTTTATTCCATAAGTGAATTCCACACTGAATTTTAAAGCTTTAAAAGAAAAATAAAATTTGGAATACTGAGTTTAAATTTTACAATTAGTCTTTGGATATGATTTAAAATCTTTTTTTTGGCATTTGGCACTTTGCTCCAAAACGAAAAATAAAGGTAGTTTACTCTTGATAGTATTTAATTTTTTCTTATTTTTCGACCCTCTACATAATATTTTTAAATTTAAAGTTTGGCAATATACTTTTTAACACAAGCATAACTTTTTATAAGGAATTAATTTTGGTCGGAAAATGAACATTTTAGTTCATTTGTCTTCTTGGACATATACTGTATAGTGTTTCAAAAAACATGTACCCATCGCCCGTGTGGTGATTCCTTACACAAAAATAGAACAAATGGTATCTATCAACATGGGTTCGCAGATGCTTTATTTTTTTTTGTTTTTTTTTCAAAATTTTAATAAAATTTGGGTTATAAAAATTATCTAAAATAGCACATACATAAAAATTTCTAAACAGGTTCACCAGGGGCGTGCGTGCGACCATGCGCTCTAATAATTTTTAACGAAAAATAGGCATGACATTTTGATAGTATAATTTGTTAAATGAACAAAAAAATTATCTTTTAATATTCCCTAGAAGCCAGCTTTGTTTATAAAATATTTGAAATTTTATTAGGCAGCGAAACAGGATTTTAGCAAATTTTATCTAACCTATTAAATAACAGTAAATGTTGAAAATGACTACCTGTATCACCACACGAGCGATGGCACTGGTATTTACTAATATACAGTAAAATTAAGAAACATTTGTAATAAAAATTGTTAAAGTTGTTATAACTTACCAACAATGTGTGTCCGATTGCCCATAAATGATCGCCTATGCATTTTCATTGGTATTAAACTATATTAATTTACATAAGGCCCTTATTTTATTTAAAACTATAAATTTAAATTAATCAGGTAAAAAGTAAGGCCACACGAACAAGTCTTTTTGAACATTAATTCTAATATAATACGATATAAGATTTAAATTACTATAAAAACCATTAAATTGTAAAACGAGGTAGTTCCATAAGTGTCCTTAAACCGTTAATTACATTACTTAATTAAAAAAAGTTTGATATGATTAGGTTTTGAAATAAATTCGTTTGTAATAGGTGTTTACTGCACCGTCGAAGATGCGTTTCCGCGTGCCAGTGACGCAGGCGAAAGCGGGGACGGGGACCACGTTGACGATGACAACCGAAGGGTGAATACAGTAGACCAGCATTTGTGCCGGCCGTAAAACCAATCCCGGCCATGAACCGTTCTGAAATACAAAAAAAAGTGTTATATTATATATAAATATATATATATACAGGGTGTTTCATAATATATGCGCAGGACTTCAGGATGTGATAGCTCAACCAAAAAGATGAAAAAAGTCGCTATTAACTTACCCTCTAAAATGCACAATTTTCGAGATACAGGGTGTTGAAATTTAAAAAAAAAATCGTTTTTTTCGATTATCTCTGGAACCGTTTATCGTACAAAAAACAGCTTTTGTAAGCATTTTCTACTCATAATAAGCTATGTTTTGTGCCAGGAAAATTTTTTTTTCCTCATAATTGGTGGAGAAGGGGTAGAGGGTGTTTTTCTCCTCAACTTCTACGCCCCTGAAAAAAGTACGGTTTCGAGAGGCCCATTCGAACCGCCAATGTTTTCTACACAAAAAAAGGTACTCTTGGTCATAAGCTCTAAAGTTGACCGTTTTCGAGAAAAATCAACTTTTATGTTTAAAAACATGGTCAATTTATAAAAAAAAATTTTTTATTACTAATTAAACAAAATTTATTTTAACGTTAGAAAAAGTAACAAAACCAAACGATAATTTCAAAATTTAAAAAAAAAATAAAAAATGATTTTTTACACAAATGCTGAAATGTGCGAAATGCGTTACCTTTACGGTTTGGAGAATTTAGCAAAGACAACTTTTGAATCATATTTTATTTTGAAATTATGGTTTGGTTTTGTTACTTGTTCTAATGTTAAAATAAATTTTGTTTAATTAGTAAAAAAAAATTATTTTTTTTTTAAATTGACCATGTTTTTAAACATAAAAGTTGATTTTTCTCGAAAACGGCCAACTTTAGAGCTTATGACCAGGAGTACCTTTTTTGTGTAGAAAACATTGGCGGTTCGAATGGGCCTCTCAAAACGGTACTTTTTTCAGGGGCGTAGAAGTTAAGGAGAAAAACACCCGCTACCCCTTCAAAATCTCCACCAATTATAAGGAAAAAAAAAATTTTTCTTTCACAAAACATAGTTTATTTTGAGTAGAAAATGCTTACAAAAGCTGTTTTTTGTACGATAAACGGTTCCGGAGATATTCGAAAAAAACGAATTTTTTTCTAAAATTTCAACACCCTGTATCTCGAAAATTGTGCATTTTAGAGGAAACTTTTTTCATCTTTTTGGATGAGCTATCACATCCTGAAGTCCTGCGCATATATTATGAAACACCCTGTATATATATATACAACAAAATAATAATAAAACAAACACAAATAAACATCCATACCCCTGTTGGGATTCGAACCCACGACCTCTCTGCTTGTAGTCAGCAGCACTAACCAAATGTTCTGCTTTAAGTTTCCACGGGCGTTATATGTATTAGTGGTTTTTCGGGATCGTGTTGTCGGTTTTTGGTTCTTAAAAGAACCGACAGCTGCGAGTTAGACGTGGAGTCTAACTCGCAGCAGAGCAGCAACAGCAGCCCAGCAGATAAGACCTGAAGATGGTACATGAGATTGTACCGAAACGTCGTCAGACATACGGTTCTTTTAAAAACCAAAAACTGACAATTCTGTGGGTAAAAGGCATAAGGGGATAAGTCAAAAAAGCAATTTTTCAATAGAGCCTTTAACGTGTTTGCATTAATTCAGGAAATATACTCTACTGAAAAATTGCTTTTACCCACAGAATTTATTTATACTTTTATACCTCATTTCACGTATCCTTAACTATGTATGACAAAAATGTCGCAGTGACGCAGTCTAAGAAAAAGAAACTTTTTAACGACGATGATGCGGCTACAGTTGTCATCTGCAGTCTGTTGTAGAAAACACTATTGTGTCGATACTAAAACGAGCTCAAAATTTACAGATCATCCAAAAAAGTAAAATTCAAAAAATAATAAAAGCCAATAATTTTAATCAAGCTCTAGAAGATGGAGACATAGCAAAACGATTAGATTTTTGTTTGTGGATAGGGGACTAAATTTTAAATGAAAATAATTAGTCTCACAAACTTATTTTATTCTCCGACAAATCCACTTTTTTCACAAATGGTCGCACTGTAGCTTCGCAACACGTACGATACTGACTTGGAGTCTAACTCGCAGAAGAGCAGCAACAGCAGCCCAGCAGATAAGACCTGAAGATGGTACATGGGATTGTAGCGAAACGTCGTCGGACATACGGTTCTTTTAAGAACCAAAAACCGACAACACGGAGCAGATCCCGAAAAACCACAAAAGAACACTTTATTTATTTGTTTGTTTAATATATATATATATATATATATATATATTTACTTGGGTGGGCCAAAAAAAACTTTTAATTTTCTTTTCTTTAGCTACCATGAAAATATCGTCCAAAATGACGAAAAAAAAATTGTGATAAAGTTTGAGCTCTTAATATTAATATTAAGAGGTGGCTCATCGCGATTTTTTATTTTCCATTTAAATAATACGGGAAAAATACATTTTTTTGTTTGTAATTTTATTGCGTTTTAACGAGTTGTCAGTGAGTTGTAGAAATCAATACATATTCTTGGAGGGAATTGAACGATCTACAAAAAAGATCTGATATGATTTTTTACATAGTTGATTCTTTTAAAAGATATTTGAGGTTAAAGTTCAACTTCAAATAGTAAATGATGACTTTTATAGTTTTTCATACTCTATCACGAAATATTGTCTCAAAAACATAAAATATAATATTTTTCGTGAAGTTTATCGAGTGTTCTTCGGTAAAACAATACAATTTTTTACGAAATATCAATAATCATGAAAAAAAAAACGGTTTTTTCCTTTGTTTATTTTTTTTTTAAATTATATATATATATGTAAGGAAACTCATTGAGTGACAAGTTGGTTACCTAAACAAGCTTGGGTGGAATCAAGGGCGGTGCCAGGTATTTCGGGGAAGTACCGAAATTCGGTAACCGAATGCGAAATGATGAGCAAGCAACGATGGCTTTTGCATCTTTATAGAAAGAGGGGCAGGCCTTCAGTTTTGGATGCCTGACTTGGCAGTGCCAAGTTGGCACGACCAGTGGGATCACCTCCATTCTACGAGATACCAAAGTAGACATAATTAGTTTTGAGTGTGCGTGATAAACAATATTTATATCTCTGTAAATTAGACAATTTATATTAAAATTTTGGCAATTATATAAATTATTACAGTTAAGAAGTTGTTGTTGCTAGATTAGTCCAATAGAATAAAATAAATAAAAACAAAGTAATTTCACGATGATTTGTCGGTTACTTTCCTATTTTTTTGAAATAATTTCCTATTTTAAAAATGAGGGAGTGATAGTATGTGTGAGGGAGTGACAGTTTAAAAGGTTTGACAAAAGAAAAGTGGTTTTTGAACATAATACAGTATTTATTAGAGAAAAATACAAAAACCATAAAGAACTTTTTTTGCTTTTTTATAAAGAAAGTTAAAATAACTAATAAATTCAGTTATACTCTCAAACTCGTCGGGGGGTAATGAATGAATTGATTTTCAATTATTCCAGGTATCCTCTGTTGATCGTACATAACAGCTACTCACTGATTAAATCATTTATAAATGTATTAAGCTATTAATAATTGGGTAGCTGTTGTGTACGATCAACCATAGATACCTGAATAAAAAATAATTGAAAATAAGGAACCAACAGAAAAAATGTGAGTAAATTTTATGAAAGTTATTGGTCCTAACAGATTCCCCTGGTCCAATAAAAAAGATTGAAATGTTATTAATGTTGAGAGCATTTTATCTGTTAGGAGTGCAATTCCAGAACTAATATCATATACTGGAAGATCAATCCATTTATTATAAATAGGGGTAATTACTAAGGCTGCTATTTTTTTTTTAATTTTTTGTTTTTTTGGTACCGGATGGTTTCAATTTTAAAGCTTTATTATTGTTAAGTCTTGAATGAGATTTTGGATAACCCCTTCCCAAATGAAAATGAATACATTGCATTGATTTTAAATAACAATCGAAACAACTAAGTTTATTAAAAAATATGCAGTCATCTTCTTTTCTGCATATAACTTGATGCACATTTGTGGTACCCGAAAATGTGGACGCTGAAATGCCAGAAAATAATAGCTCTACCTGTTGTAAAGCGTTAGCAGACAATTCTTGGATATATATTCCCGGACAACGTTCCTTTAAAATGTCTATTAGTTGGGAAATGTTAGAAATGTCTTTTCCTTCAGCTAATGCCTGGTCAGCGGTCCTCTTTAGTGTACCTCCAACGCCATCGGCGGCCTCTTTCCCATGACCCGCTTCAGAGTAATTCCAGGTTAGGATTTCAATGTTTGGTAAAAAATGGTTTGAAAACGATGAAATAACACGAAACATAAATCGATTTCTGTATTGTGTTGCTGGTCCGTCGCTAAGAAAGTGAACTGTAGTTATATCTTCTATTTTATTTTGGTCGATCCAATCAAAAACTATTTTTAAATGTGCCCATATGGCAACATAATCGTGTCTAAGAGATGTTGAAATTGTACAAAACGAACGTGGGGTAACTTTTCCTTGATTATTGAAGTGGTCCCGAACAATAATCCGTAGTCACTTTTTCTCTGAAAAAATCCCTAATAGTACTTTTCGAAATTTCGACCCCAAAAAGAAATCACAGTTGGCCATGAGTTTAGTGGTCAAAAGAAGTAACATATGTGATTAAAGCCTTTTTCAGAGATCTATCCAACAAAAAAAAGTTTACGAAGATCGGTTGAAAAATGCAAATTTTACGAGGGTGGTAAGGTCTTAAGCGACACACTGTATATATAAAAAGTTCATATCAACTTAGGTCCGCAACCGCTTTATTTTGTAGTGGTATGCAAAATTAAAAAAAAAATATCGTTTTTTCTCAATAGTTGGCTTTATTATTAATTAGGAAAAAGTGAGGTAAAATTCGTTTAACAAATAAAATTGGCTTTAATTCTTATTTGTGTTGGTCGTAAATAAAAAATAGTATGCAACTCGTTTTATAAACTTCTCTAGTCACTCGTTTTTATTAAACACTCGCAAGCTTCGCTCGTAA